CTTTTAAAGAATGATTTTTTAATCCTTATCGGCGCTTCTTAATGGGGTTTTTGCATTCTTTAGGTCTTTTGAAAGACATACGATATTCTTCATTAAAGGAATTGAAGTTTCTTTTGAAACCATACAATTCTTTCTTACGAAACCGTACAAAACAAATCTCTTAAGCAAAAGTTAAGGGTAAATTCGGCAATATTTTTGGCTATTCCTTCTCATACAAATATAGAAACACAGCTTTTATATTTTTTTGAGATAATCTACTTCTCTCAATCGGATGTAGCGAACCAAACTTCGGGTCCCTTCTTTCGGTCAAAAGAGATATTTTCGTTGAAATATGATACCCGGAATGTTTCATGATTACAATACTTTTTTTACTTCGTACAAGGAAGTAAAACCCTAAGTGGCACTATGTACTTTATTCGCTAGTGACCGATCGTTATCACTCCCACCATTTCTCGATTTGATGGATCTAACACAGGATTTCTCAACAGGGTCGCTACTAATCCCCTGTCCGTCAGCGAAGTTTTAAAGGCGGCCAATGATAATCAAAGGGTCTTATGTGTACACCACATGACTTCCTTCTACGGAATATTAAATTATGCGCATTTTTCTTGCATTTCATTTAAACTTATTGAATTAAATCTATTTCGTCGATAACGCATAAACTACAATAGATTAAATGCTCTCTTTAAAATTGACTATATTTATTTACCATAGCGATACTCTGGAGAGCTAGGTTACTTAACAGCGTTACATTTCATTCATTTTATGACTGCTTGACACCAAGATGAATATTGGTTAATCGCGCTAAGCGCGACGTTACCAATTCCTCATTTTATTTTATAACTAATCCTAACCTTAATAGTCTCTGGTATACTGGTACACAATCACATTAGGGTTTTAACCAGTTCGTTTTGCATATGCCTTAGGCCAATTGCGTATGTAAATAAAAGAAGGTGCGAACGCACCCACCCGAAGGCGAAGATACTGCGGCCGTGGAAATTGGAGTCAAGGTTCCGTGAAAACAATTAAGTTGCATGAGAAGAACGAGCGTGCATTATCTTACTAGTTGAAATTCACAATTAAATAATATGAATTGAACATAGAATGTAATATAGTACGTTGAGTAATAATAATATGAATGACATAAATCATTGAATGATTAAATTTGTAACTGAGAGCATTTCAGGTCGAGTCTTGAGAACATGTGAGTTCAATTGGAGAATTCCTACTGTGAGAGGCAGTTGACGCACAAATATTTATAACATAATAATAAAAATAAGCATGATAAGAATAATATAAAAATTATTAGCAGAGTCCATACCTGCTCTACAAGGCACAAAGTCCATATCTTTGCAAGTATTTATATATATATATAATATAACACATGTTTTTAAAAATTGTTACGAATACATTTTAAGCAGAATCCATAATTGACTCGACCAAGCCACAAAGTCCATAAACTTTGTCAGTAAGTAGTTTAAAATAGCTAATGAATGAAATAATAGTAAAATAATAATACATGTATGCAATCACCAATTAATATTGTGGTGAATAGACCTAAGTCGCTTCACTGTACTCTCAACAGTAGAATCGTAATTAATTATTTCACGTAAGTGAAGATATGAGGAATTTTTCATTTTTTCAAAAAGATTGTGTGAATCCATAAGTACTTGCTCCGGAATTGGACGAATTTTTATGTCTGCGTGAATAATAGTGTTGCGAACGTACCAAGGCGCATTTACCATGGCACGTAGAATTCTGTTCTGTAGAATTTCAATTTTCTTTCGCTCTGTTTTTAAGGCTGTGGCCCACGCCGGGGCAAGAAAAAGAAAAATTGGTCGAATAAGCGTGAGATATAAAGCTCTTTTCATTTGAAAGCTGAGTTTTGATTTCCTGTCGATAAGATTATATAAAGCCATAAATGCTCTGTTAAGTTTGTATGTTATGAGATCTTTAAACGTCAGTCTGCTGTCAATAGTAACCCCAAGATACTTGTAAGAATCCGAAACAGGGATAACTTCATTACGAATATAAATATCTGTATTAACATACATGTAGCTTTTGGTTCTTCTACATAAAGCCATTCTGCATTTAGACGTATTTCCCATAGCCGAAACCAGATGGCGACAACGCTGACGTGTAGCGGAAGATTGTTCATAGCTAATTGCCGGCTTTCTGACTTTGAAAGAATTACGGTATCGTCAGCATAATTTCATAATCTTGAATTTAAGGGGTTGAGGAAGTCATTTATGTAAATTACGAAAAGCTTTGTCCCTAAAATTGACCCTTTGGGGACGCCACTGTGTATAAGCTTCTTCTGTGAATGTGCATCACCCACTCGTACTTGAAAAGTACGTCTTTTTAAATAAGACTTGATGTGCTTAATAAAGCTAACAAGCAGTAAGAAGTTAGTTAAGTTGTACAGTAATCCATTGTGCCATATTTTGTCGAATGCTTTCTCGAAATCCAGAAAGCAAGCGGCAACTCCTGCTGTGTGAAAAAATGTATCAGCTATATATTCAATCAGGTTCAGGATTTGATGTGTAGTGCCGTTTGATTTCCGAAAGCCAAATTGAGATGTGTCAATCAACTCCAATCTCTCCAGGTGATCATTCACTCTTCGGTTGATAGCTCTTTCAAAAATTTTTCAAACTGTAGGTAGGGGACTAATGGTCGGTAACTAGATGGTAAAGTCGGATTTTTCCGTGTTTTAAGCAACGTGATCACAATCTAGTTCTTCCACTGAGAGGGTAAATAGCAATTACGAATACAAGCATTATATATATTAGCCAGGAATACGAAACATATTGTAGGAAGCGCTTTAATTGCCTGATTACTATTTCCATCATAACCTTTAGCTTTTTTGACTTTTAAATTTTTGACAATTTGCTGAATTTCTCTCGGTGAAACACTTGAAATAAAATTGGTGTTTCCTCTGTCATCCAGATGCAAAACAGTTAATTTCTTCTTCATGCTCTTAATCAAAAGATGGATTAGGTAGGATTGAAAGGTAATTTCTAGCTCATTAGCTAAAACATTAGCTATATCAGTACACATGTGATTTAATCGGTGAGATGTGCTTGGTCCTCTCCTTCCGCATAGAGTTTGGAATTTTGCATAAGGTGTCTGGGTCTGCTTTTATATTATCAATAATTTGTTCCCAGCAGTCAGTTCATTTTATAAGTCACAATGCACAAAACTTATATCATTTGAAGAATTATCTAACCGTTGCCTCATGCTGTATTCAAATACTATAATAAATCTAAAACGATGTATAAAAGAAATTAAACAAACAAAAAGAAACAGTTTTTCACTGACGATTCAGTATTTCTCATTCAATTAATTCAGTTCTGACTTCGCGACAAGGCAAAAATACATAAAAACTCAAAATATCTATATTAAAAAATTATGAAGTAAATCTTAAACACTTATTTCCTCGAATAAATTCCAGAATGGATTAAGCATGATTCAATTCGCAATAATAAAAGAAGGCGTTATCTTTGTTGTTTCGAAGCTTAGTTCCCCTAGACTGGCAATAAATCCACTATTTTGCTAAGTTTCAAATGTAAACAAATATCGCAGCTATTGTAAAAATAATTAGTTTAGCCGCACTTAAACAACTTTTAAATTATTGATAATTCTACAAATAGTTCATGCAGATTGACTAAAGGCATAAAAACCTTAACCGGAAGATAAGAACAACATAATTCAATCATTCTTAAAGCAAAAAATGCACAATTTACAAACATATAAGAATAAAGAAACTGAGATCACTGAGCCAGTAACAGAGTGAATATGTATGTATATGTATATATATTATATTTATGCACTTTTGGTGCGGCCGGTTGCAACCAAAATGGGAGGTTCACATCTACATGTTATATTAGTCCTATATGCAAAATTTCAACGTTCTGAGGCTGCTCGTTTTTGAGTTATGCGAAACATATACATACATACGTACGTACAGATGCCCCGAAAAATTCTCTTCAGAATTCCTTTTAAATCAGTTTTCTAATTTTTTAGGGGAAAAAGAGTCTTTTATTCTCTCCTTACGTACTGATGTCACGCAGAAAAATCATTAAATTGCATTCGATATTTAATATAAAAAGAATATTTTCATTGAAATATGGTACCCGAAATTTTTCGCGATTACAATACTTCCTTTTTACTTCGTACAAAGAAGTAAAAACAGGTGGAATATTTTTGAACTAGGTGATTTAAAAATTAAATTAAATAGTTTTGTACCAAATATTAAAGGGATGTCCATTAAAACATTAAGCGCAGCCATCATATTCTTTAAAACTGTATTTTTGTGCAATTAGAAGCTATGATATTTGTTTATTATAATAAAATTCAAAATAATAATAACAATAATAATAATGCAACAGTAATTATACACAAGTCTAATAAACCATTTTTTTTTTTAAATTTTTGTTCATATTCTGAAAATAATTGTTATTTTAAAATTATTTGTATGCAATTATTTGTATTATAATTATGTTGTATACTGCATATTTTAAAGAAAACTATAATGGGGTCGATGGAGAAAACCATTCTTTTAAAAGAGGTCTATGCGAAGAAAGGTTGGGAATCCCTGGTTCTAGAGCAGCGGTTTCCAAACCTTTTGTTTCACAGTGCCTTTTGTAAGACGCAATCCGAAATTTCACGGATTTTTCTGCTATGTGAGGGAGAGAGGATGAAGAAAATAATTTTTTTTTTTTTTTTTTTTTTTCCTAAAGGGTTCGATATGAGAAAAAATTGGTCTAACACTGCAAGGGCACCTGATCATGTAAGTAGAACCTTGTTAAAACAGATTGTTGACGGTAGGATTTACTAGCTTAATTCGACTGAGCCCTTTACACTCAGTTAGTTACACATTTAGAAGTAATTTTACTAAAATGCAAGAAGAAATATCTTAGTTGTTTATTTAAAATTGATTTTTATGACTAACAACTTCCTACTTATATTTGCTGTACGATTTTCTTCCTTTGCTGATTCAGAGGACAAAGCAAGCAGCCAGCAAACAGTGTGCTATTACCGAGCTGAAAGAAACGAAAGCGGACGACTTCAACCAGAAGACATCGATACATCCCTCTGTACTCATTTGATCGTGGGTTTTGCTGAGGTTCGCTACGACTTCTTGTTACCTAAGACGATGCATGATCTGGAGTGCTTCAATAGGACAGCTAATCTCAAGAAGAAAAATTCGAAGATGAAAGTAATGTTGTCTGTCGGCGGAAAATCGAATGGAAGATTCTCGAAGATGGTGATGACGAGCCATGGAAGAGAAAAGTATGTAGAATTCTGTGGGTCTAACTTCTCTAGCGATTTCTTACCTGCATTCTCTAGTACAAAGATGAATCATTAGCACTGCTTCCTTCGCTCTGTACGGGTCGCCACTGATAAACACACATATTGCTTTGATTGTTTTTCTAAGATTATATTTAAATTCTGAACTTCCTACTTTAATTTGTGTCTTTGTCGGCTCAGAAACAGGCTGTTTTATTTACTTACTTCTTTCAATGCATCAATCCCAAGATAACGATGCAGCAAAAGATGTAAACTTCATTTTCATTTTTGATTTTGGCATATTTTGCTCCTCCCCCTATTTCTTGTAGTTTTGCCACTGTGCTTCTGTCTTTTCGTTTTTACCCGTAGTTTATTCCGAATTAAATATGAGATGAATTTTAAACCTATTTTTTATTTTATTTTACGCACATATATATATAGAGAGAGTTTGTTAAGGTATTTTATGTTCTTGATAAGAGCGCAGTTTCTCACTCTCCTCCTGCACTCACACATGCTGACACACATGTTTCCATTTTTTAAATTTTGTCATTAAATATCACTTTCGCTACATAAAATTCAATAGGAAAGTCACGAAATATTTAAAAATAGCCTATGTGGAGAATTCCGGATAGCGTGTTAAGCGTTGCCATACATTTTGTTTTTCTTTTATATTTATTAGTCTATAAAATAATGCATGGCGGTAGCATTGGATGGCAACATGCTTTTATATGAAAGGTGATACGGATAAAAAAGTGGGGATCCAGATAAATAGTACCTCCGGTATCAAAAAAGAGTTAAAAAAAAGGTGAATTGGCATTATTTTAGTATTTTTTAGTTGCGTATGTGTAGAAAGCTTTTGTGAAAATAAAAACTATTAACCTTTTGTTATGTTCTTGGGATTTTTTTGAATCACAGTGAGCAAGAACAAATTTTGTATAGGTCGCACTAACAAATTGTAAAATTCGGAAAGGAAACAAAAAGTGGTGTGAAAATGCATATTTCAGAACCTCCGATAAAAGTTAGACATTTTTAAACGAAGTCCATGCTTTTAAGCAAAAATTTAAATAAATTACTTACGACTATTTGTTTGTTTTCCATTTTGGACATTGGAACGTTTTTCTGTGAGGCACGATCTGGAATCTAATACTGGCAACACAAAACGGGTAACAGTATTCTAAAAGCATTAAAGTTAGAAATATGAAACAGCATGATAAATAAGTGAACTAAAAATTCAACATACAGTCAACTTCCGATTAATCGAACTCTGTCTAAAATATCTGATGTGGACACCACATGATTTCCTTGTACGGTCTATTAAATTATATACATTTTTGCTGTAATTCCTTTAAACCTATTTCCTAGAATTCCATTTTAGATATATTTCTCTTTCAATGAATTCAGTTCTGACTTCGCGAGAAGGCAAAAATACATAAAAACTCAAAATATACTCATTAAAAATTGCAAAATGCAGAAAAAATCTAAAACACCAAATACAATTTAAAAAGTTTTACAATTAAATTAGAATTTTAATGCAAAAACAAGCAATTCAGCCAACGGGCACGAAGACCAAATTTTCAATGCACAATACTCAAAGTTAACTTTTGATCCCACAGCGCAAAAAGACACCGAAGCTGGCGCACCAACTGACTTAATTCCCTGTTCTACTAAGAGTTTCAAATGTAAACAAATGGCGACCTCTTAAGGCCTAGCACCACTTTTAAATTGTTGATAATTTTACAAGTGTTGCATGCAGATTAACTAACCGGATCATAAGAAGAACATAATTCAACCATTTCTAAAGCAAAAAATTCCCAATTTACCAACATATAAGAATAAAAATACTAAACTAATCGAGCCGGGTAACAGGGTGAGAATGTATATAGTGGCTCCCAAAAGTGTTCGTACACTTACGAGTTTCAGTGAAATATTCTTTATTCATTAATAAAAATTATTATTTTATAATGAAATTTTTTTAAATATCTATACATTTCTCTTAGCAAAACCACATTAATTATATGACGAACATATTAAAACCTTTTTTTGGAAAATCAAAAATAAAAAAAGTAACAGGAAAGTTACCTGACAAAAGTCTTCGTACGCTTTAAAGCAATCTGCACATATTACTAAATATTGTAGTATTTCTGTCAGTTAGTATTTGTAGTACTATATCCTGCAGTATTTTTGACAGTGTTCAAATGTCTGGGCATAGAGTTCACCAGGTGTTTTTTTTTTTTTTTTTTTTTTTTTTTTTTTTTTTAATATATATATCTGATTCAATGTTCCTCCATTCTTCCATCCTTATATGTTCTCTTGGATTTAGATCTGGTGACTGTGGTGGTGTTTTCAGAACTTGTGGACGATTACAGACACCCAAATGATTTTTAATAATATCTATAAATTTCTCTTAGCAAAACTACATTAATTATTTGTAAACATAATAAAACTCATTTTCTAAAAATAAATAATAACAAAATTCGTACACTTTAAAGAAATAGGCACAATAATATATTATGTAATATTGACATAAATATTACAATGTATTAGTATACATTGTAATATTTATGTCAGTTAGTATTTTGTAGGATATTCTGCAGAATTTATAACAGCTTTAAAACGCTTGAACGCAGAATTCACCAATTTTTTTTTTTTTTTTTTTTTTTTTTGGTAATATTTGCATCAATGTTCCTCCATTCTTCCATCATTACTGCTTTTAATTCGGTTTTCGGTTTAATATTGTGTCTTCGTACTTTAACCTCTTATTCTCTCCTTATGTTTTCTATTGTTTTTAAATCTGATGACTGAGGTGGTTTTTTAGAATTTATGGACAATTATAGACACACCAAAGGCGAACGTTGAGGGCCGTGTGCTTAGGATCGTTATCCTGATAAAAAATAAAGTTGTTTCCGGTATCCTTAATTTAGAGCGGATAATTTTAAATTATCTTTTAAATATTTAAATGAACAGCATAGTTCATTATGCCATCAATAAATACTAAAATACCTAATCCTGATGCTAACATGCACCCCAACACGACACCTCCACCGCCATGCTTTACTATTCCAACCAAGATCATGGGATTAGGGTCCTCGTTTTTTCTTCTCCATACAATTATACGCCCATCGGAACTAAAAATGTTAAATTTGCTTTCATCTGCAAATAAGGCAAGGTTCCAATACGCTTTGGGTTATTTACCATTGATTTTTCGAAGGAAAGAATAAACTTTATATTTTTTGCACTTACAAAATATTTTCTTCGAGCACAGTGACCCGTGTAATCCAGCTGATCTGAATACTCATCGAACAGTTTCAGGCGAAACTGAAACACAAAATTTTTGAGTAAATTCTGTTGAAATGTTTAAAAAACTCAAATATGGATTTTTCACAAATTTTCTAACTATAACGATCCGATTTACTTCTTTTATCACATATCGCACAGCAGAATAGGATCAATTTATTAATTTAGCGATATCCCTGATCGATTTTCCAACATTATGATGAAAAATGACCGATCTTCGACTGCTATTAGTTCCTTCCTTACAACTAATAGCCATTTTTAAACATTAAAGAAAATATAAGGAAGTAAGCAAGCAAAGAATAAAACCAAACGATTTCTTAAAGGTAACCAAAATTCTAAAATCAAAAAATCTCATATGTACATCACATGACTTTCTAATACGGAATATTAAATTTATCAGTTTAGCGACATTCCGGGTCGATTTTCCACCCTTATGATGAAAAATGATCAATCTTCGAATGCTATTAGTTCTTTCCTTACGACTATTAGCCATTTTTAAACATTAAAGAAAACATAAGGACGTAAGCAAGCAAAGAATAAAACCAAACGATTTCTTAAAGGTCACCAAAATTCAAAAATACAAAAATATGATATGTACACCACATGACTTTCTTGTACGGAATATTAAATTATACGCAATTTTCCTGAATTTCATTTAAACATATTGAAATAACAGTTAACGAATTTTGAATTAAATCTACTGTCGATAGCGCATAAAGCCCAATAAAATAAATGTTCAGTATACGAGTATTTATTTACCATAGCGACACTTCGGCGCTAGGTTCATTTAATAGAATCTTAACATCTCATTCATTTTATAACTCAGAGTGCACAAAAATTATACCATCTGAAGAATTACCAGAAGTTCTATTCAAATACTATAATAAATTTAAAACACCCACCAGCGGCCGAGCGGTAAAATACGCTGAACACTGGTAGTTCGGTCCGAGGTTCGAATTCCGCGAACGGCTGCATGGGCCTTTTTCGTGGTTTTCCCCATGTGTAACGTGTACACGAGCCAATTTCCCTTACAAAGTCCTCCACAAAGGCATCCCTCCCTTTCGGCAGGTAGCCCTCGTGTGTTTTGTCATAATTAAATAATCCAATTCAATCCCATAAATTTAAAACGATGTATAAAAGAAATTAAACAAATAAAAAAGAGACAGTTTTTCACAGAAGATTAAGCGCCGCTTACCTAATGCTCATGCGCTACTAATTAATTCAGTTCTCACTTCGCGGCAAGGCAAATACACACAAAAATTCAAAATATTTTCATTAAAAATTGAAAGATATAGAAAACACAAAAAACACTAAGTACAGTTAAAACAATTTTTACAATTAAAAGTGCAGTTTCTATGCAAAAACAAGCTAACTTAAATGGTAATTCCAGAATGAATTAAGCATAATTTAACTGGCATTAATTAAAGAAGATATTACTTTGTTGTTGCAAAGCTTATTTTCTCTAGATTGGCAACAAATCCATTATTCTGCTACGTTTCAAATGTAAACAAACATGGCCGCTATGGTAAACAAAATTTAGGCTTAGCCGCACTTAAAAAACTTTTAAATTGTTGATAATTCCACAATTATTGAATGCAGGTTAACTAAAGGCATAAAAATCTTAACCAGAAGATAAGAATAACATAATTCAATCATTTTTAAGGCAAAAAATTTACAAACATTTAAGAACAAAGAAACAGAGCTCACTG